AACGCTCATTTGTACATCATTCTAGACAGAAATAAATGGCCTTTTTAGAAAGTGAACCATCGATAAGGAAATGTTGGCAGTTTTCTCAAAAAATGACCCTCCCCCCTGGATCCGCCCTTGTCCCCAAAGCTCTCCTTACCGGCAACATAAGCCTTTAACTCTTCCTCTGTCAGTTCGCAGCCTTCCTTCGTCACCACAAAGGCCACCGGGCGCTCGCCCACCAGTTCATCTGGAAGCCCCACCACGCCCACGTCGCTGACCTTTGGATGGCGCACAAGAATGGCCTCGAGCTCGGCCGGAGCCACTTGGAAGCCGTTGTATTTGATCAGCTCCTTCAGGCGATCGATGATGAAGAAATAGCCTTCTTCGTCGCGGTAGCCCAAGTCGCCCGTTCTGAACCAGCCGTCGCTGGTGAAGGCTTCGCGAGTGGCCTTTGCGTTCTTGTAGTAGCCCATCAGGATGGAGGGGCCCTAAAAATCCCGGAATATGGATCTGGATGGGCGACTTTGCGTGGTTTGGGCACCTTGAAGCAGAGCTCGCCGACCTGGTTGGGGCCCAAAGAGCGGCCGCTTTGCGGATCGCGCACTTTGGCCATCAAGAAGGTCATCACTTGTCCACAGGAGCCGGATTTGAGCTGACCGATGGGCATTGAGGTGACCGCTAGACTGGTTTCGGTCATTCCATAAGCTTGTCTGCAATCCTTGCACTTCAACCTGTGGATAAACGGACTGGCTTAGTTGCAGTTTCAATGTGTTTTTTATCGCTTTTTGGCTGGCAGAACGAGTTTTTCGCAAGATGTCGATCTCTGCTTGAAACTTTGGATCTTCAGCGCAAATTGAGCCCGAAACTTGAGGGAGTTGCATTAAAAAGCCTTCGCAACCAGCGAAAGTTTCACCTTCCTCAGAGAGGGTGCAGTTGTTCAAAATTGCCCATTTTTTAGTGAAACTGCCCATCGCAGCTTTAAAATTTGTATCTGCAGCGCAAATCAAAGTGAAAAGAGCAAATTCTGCTTCACAACCAGTGAAAGGTTCAATTCGCCTCCATCGCCAGTGAGTTTTGAGTCAAAACCGCGCCCTTTTTTGTCTGAATGTTCAACCTCAACATTGTCTACTCTTCTACCCAAATGAAGCCTATACTCTGTCCCACTCTGTATATAAAATTACCTCAATTGCAGCTGTGCTTCAGTGTGGGCCTTCAAAGGAGCGCCCGCACAATAAACAGTCTCCACCGCACTCAAGTCATAATGGGCGACTTTGTCCGACTTGCTCAGAAAAATGGCCAGCGGCGGCACCAAAGTGAGAATCGTGATTCGATGGGTCTGAATCGACCTCAGAAGCACATCCTCATCGAATCGCTTGAGGCAAACAACGGTGTTGCCCATGTTCAGGCTGCTCAGAGTGACAATCAGGCCATAGGCGTGGAAAAAGGGCATCAGACCGAGCATCCGGCTCTTTCCAGCCAGTTCATTTTTTGGCGTGTAAAGTGGCTCCCTGCAAATGTTCGGTTAACCACCAGTAGGAAAATTCGCGGATGGAACATGCCTTTGATGGTTGAGGCGGACCTGGATATTCATATGGGAAAGGGCGACCCCTTTGGGCAGTCCGGTTGTTCCAGACGAGCACAGGATGAAAGCGATGGAGTTTTTCGGGTCGCCTTCCGCTGGCTTAAAACGGTTTACATCCACACTGTGATCGCCCAGTTGGGATCTGATGAATTCATCCAGACCCTCCACTCCTGGTTGCCCGCTTGCCGCATCCAGTTTTCCCTGAAACCAAAAATTATATGGGGACAATATTTTTGCGTTTCGGTCGACACGGTCGACCCCAAGATAACATTTGATCCGTTTTTTTCCAATTTTCGACGAAAAATGTCTCAACAATTTTACTATCTGTCGTATCGACCAGTATTTACGGTCTGGCAATAATAACGATATCAGTTTTATACAAAATAATAGCAATTTAAACTAAATATTTCCGATTTTACCATATCAGCAGTGATGTAAGTTGGGAAAAATTCCTCAACTAGGAACAATGTTATAACTTACATACTTGCTTCGGATCGTTATCAGGTCATAAATGATCAAAGTGTTATTTTACGTAGTTGTGGAATAATTGCGAATTGTAATCAAAATCGCTACGTTGATTATTACAATGGGGAAACGGAAAACACTCGCTGTGGGCTCGAGATGGATTAAGTCGGCAATAAGCCAAGACACCCTGTATATGTCGGCAAGACACCCTGTATATGTGTTCATACAAAAAACATTTCAATTAAAAAAAAATGCAACTGGACAGGTGAAGCTTGAGTTTTTGTACAAAATCCAGAATTAATCAATTTTTTCCATCAAGAGTCAGACGACATTAATCCCCGTTGCATTGAATCGGCCCTGGTACATCGGAGGTGTGCGACAAGAACAGACTGGTTTCTATGGCAACCGCTATGTTTTTCTCTCTCTTGACCATAGCCGAACTACGTCAGTACGATTACGAGGTGGCATGGAAACAGTCAAGCCATTTGAACAACAGCAAAAAACTTTCCAGTTTGACTTTTCGAAAAATCGACTCAGTTTTTGCTTGCCGAAAAAGTCGACTTTGACCAAAATAGATTTGAAACTGTGAAGATTTTCGGGTTATTACAAGACATTCGTTTACATGACGGCTATAGCCATCTTAATGAATAATCAGTCTTGATCGAAACTTACCAGCTTCCAAACTAGTTAAAATTTAAGGCAAGACTTACCAAAACAATTATCCTCTTGATATGAGTGTGAGGTTCTTTGAGCTGCAGGAGTTTGGGTAGAACTGCACGCGAACAGAAAACCACTTGGGGGCGACTAATGGCCAATGAATGCTCCAACTCGTAGTTCGTGTAGGAATGACTTAATGGGGCCAGAACGGCCCCATTAAACAGCGCAGCCAGCACAACTTTGAAGAAATCCAGGCAGTTTTCGCTGCTGATGGAAAAAATCGCGCTTTGGCCCTCGTAGCCGAGTTTCCTTAGAGCCGCCGCCAAGTTAACTGCCTGTTGGTGCAGGTCGCGCCAGAGGAGCGTTTGGTTGGAAAAAGCGTCGATCTGAAACATCCGAGTTTCCGATTATTCCCATTTTTCCTTAGTTAACCCGTTGCTTACCATTGCAACCCCTCCTGAAGGCATTTCCAGTAGATTCCGATGGAGGGTGAGACCGAGCAGCTCCTCAAGCAAAGGGAAAGTGGCCGGAGGGCCTTGCAAGACATGAACATTGTCTTCCTTTAGCGCACTTTCCATTATTCCAGTTTTTCACCACTCACAGATCGATTCACCGCTCGTAGTCAAGTTGGGAGCTCCAAAGTACCAAGCGCACCAAGCAATGTTACACATTTAAATAGTTTCTTCAGTTTTCTTTTCCACGTTTTTATAGCCAAACGGTGATAAGCAGGATTGTTCGTCTTATCATCACGTTGAATTCTTTTTAGTTCGAAATCGCTCAGATTCGACGGCTAGACTAGTTGAATGAAAAAATTCGCTAATATTCCAGACAGTCTTTTGGGGGACGCGAAAATTGGACAGAATTAATGCGAATCTCGTTGGGTTTCTGTGCGTATTCAAAATAAAAAATTGTGCAACTGTTGACCAGAGGTCGATATTTTTTGTTTACGAGAGATTAAAGAAGATTAATTTTTAATTATACTTACGTCTTTTTCTTACGTTCTTTTGCAATATCGGCAGATTTTTTTTTCTCCCAAACGATGGGTTTGAAAATAAATGATAAAATGTCGGAGCATTTTGCAAGACTCAGGACGGTATTTTGTTATAAGCACTGCGGTTTATGGTTGTTGAGAAAATCCCTAAAATACGGTTTAAAAAAAATTGCAACGTATCCCAAACTAACGCAGAACACGGGATGTTAAGCTCCTTTTTTAATAGATCGTGTCAAAGGGCATAGAAAAGTTGGTGTTCACTTTTCCTCTTAACTGTTTTCCAGCCAGCTTTTGCAGGTTTTCCGATTTCGGTCGATTTTTCCAATTTATTTTTTTACCTGCAAACGGAGCATTTTACCGAAAAAAATTGCTCTTGATAAAATATCGGCCATGCCACAAGTTACACACCGGCATTTTTTCCATAGTCTTCCCATAACCGATTTTCGAAAAAAAACCCAAAAACGGTGTTTGGAAAAAAAAAGAATTATCTCCAAAACGCCAAATGACCAGTGAATTCTGAGCAAATAACCGGAAAGAGGCTGTTAAGGTGCATAAAAAAGTTAAATATTCATATTTCCACTCAAGTGACTAATTAGCGAGCCTTTGAATGTTTTTCTATTTTGGACCTCAATATTTTCGCAAAGAGCCCAAATTGAAAATTTTTCACCCCGGCTTCCCCCTGGGCCTATTTGGCATTGTACATCTTCAAGCGACCGAAAAACTTCAATAAAATTAAATATTGAAGGGGATTTCGGTATTTATAAAGGATTTGCGAAAATTCAGACGCCTTAGGAGCCTGTACCCAGTACCCAGTGATCCTTTTTTGCCTCCGGTTCATCGGATTATTGTTTTCCGAAACAAACTAAACTACTTTTGAATGTGGTTTATGCATTTAAAACACCATAACAAGGCAAAACTTCGAAAACAAATTTTTAGTTTTTGAACGAAAATTTATGGGCGTCAATCCTACCCAGTTAATTTTCACAATTTATTTTTTTGCTCCCAAATTAAGTTTTTTTTCGAAAAATGTGGCTCTTGATGAAATGTGAACCATGTTGTTATCTACTCGATGATAATTTTTGCGAACGTCTCCGGCGCCCGCTGTTGGAGATAAACGCAAAAAAGAGTTAGTTATTGACGGTTTTTTGGTTCCGGGCGCAAATAAGAAATGTTTCTTTTTGACTGGCCCCAACGCTCCCACTTGAATGTGTGAATTGAGCAGAAATTGCGGGAGTTTTGTTTTAAGTAAATTTACGGTTTCTAACGTCGAAATCGGGAAAAATTCAAATTTTTACCAGCTTGGTAAACGGCAGTCCCTATGGGTGATTCTACATTCCTTAAAGACTCCTGAGTTCCAAACTGGAGCACGTAGCAACTTGAAACTCGCACAGTTCGTCGAAGACGCTTGACTCTAAGGATGCTGATTTTTTCCTGAAAAATGCTCAAAATCCCGATTTTTGCCAGCTTAGTAAATACCGATCTCAGAATGAACCGTTCCACCTGGTTCACTCAACTGCACTCTCTGATTTAAGAATTAATAACTTTCCAACCAGAGCAAGTAGCGGATTGATTGTTTTTGCAGTTCGTAGTCGATACTTACGCCCCAAGGCTCGGAAATTTACGTCAAAACTGTCCAAAATCCTGAGTTTTACTATCTTCACAAATGTTGATCTCAAAATGGAAGGTTTTACGCAACTTTTACTGCACTGTCCTCTTTAAAAATTCATAACTCTCCAACCAGAGCGTGTAGAAACTAGATTTTTCGCAGTTTGTAGAAGGCTGATTCCCAACTAAAACTCGCAAAACTTCTTAGTAGTTTTCCTGCTTCTGCAAGTTTTCCAGTGGAAAAATCGATGCAAATGTCCCGTTGCGACAGACAGCCGAAGAATTGATGAGTTGCGTTGCCTGGTGGTACTGTAGGCATCGTTTGTCTTGAGCGATGTTTTAATTATGTGATGCTAATGGAATTTTTGTTTCGGACGATTACTTATCGGCTCTATGGGCCTGTTTAATGCCTACTTAGTTACCTGCTTAGCTTCATTGACTTATTGCAGAACGGTTTGAAGGAAGCTGATGCTTGGAAGTGGTTCGGTGGCTCGCTCCGATTAACATTTCTAGATGGGAACACAAATAGCTGGTTCCAATTACAAAGCCCCGCGTAAATCTCCATTGACAGGCCATATGTTTCCCCCGGTATGATTTAGCCGTCGTAATCAATAACATTGAAGGGAAATATTCATGAAGGCGCTGAATATTCATGGAAAGATGACAGAATGAATCATGGGCAACGAACCCGGCCCGTATCAGTTCCGATCATCAGAGTTGGTGGTGGACTTTTTTCGAATCGAGCAAATTTTCCTTAAATACATAAAACAGCCTCGCGAGCTTTATGCAAAGAAGGCCCCTGTTTTCCTTGAAAGATCCCACGATTCGAATCGCTGATAGTCGGACGACTTATGTTGGGCCGTGTTCAAAAGAAGAGGAACTTTGATCGGATCAGAGTTACGACAGGAGCCGGAAAAATCCTTGTTTGCTGATCTCGGCTCCCGATTAGATTATGGGAATGCGTTCGCATGCCATTGTTCTGCACGGGCACAATTCTAGACCCCAATTTGACCCAATCCAACACCGCCTCTACCTTTTGTTTACGTACATTAATCAACACATTGCACTTATCAGCGCGAATTAATAACAATAATACGGAATACAATGTGCAAATTTGCCGACTTTTATTTATTAGTTGTCTTTCTTTGTAGCCGCTTGCGGCTTATCAGACTGCAAACCAACGCTTGATCTCGTAGTAGCCCGAGTTTTATTAATGAACGTGAACCCAAACTGGGCAACTTTACGCAAAACCCGTAATCATTTCCTACGCGAACTCCATGGTACCATCATGGGTTGTAATTAGCCCGGTAGTCGGATGGGTGCGTGATGGTTGCAAGTAATTGCCGCTTTTTACCGCTTCTTCGCCGTCATGCTACCGCATTTAACTCGCCCGCAAACATCGCTTGAAGATAAGAAGGGGGTTTTTCGCGTGTATGCCCATTTTTACCATTTCTTAAACATTTATTGACAGGTTGGCGAATGCGCCCAGTGTAGGAGTAGATGTACTTTTCTGGAACTTTTCCAGTTTTCTGTGGGTTCTGCATGCAGTGGGAGTAAATGCTCGTGCAGGATGTTTTCTTCGAGTGTGGCAACGTTTCGTTCACCTACTAGTTTCTCATCAGGAAAACAACAAACCACAAATTAGGCAGTCAGGAGGGGTTTTTCATTACAATCAGACAAGTGTTCAACTCGCGAATGAAGCTCTTTGGAGGTGATTGAATTGTGATTTTAGACACTCTGCACACAGCAACATTCTTTTTGTAGATAAGTTCGTATATTGTTGAAGCGGATTCATTTTTTTACAAACTTCTTTTTGGGTATTTCGCCCAAAAAATTTTTGTCTTTAAACGGTAAAAAAAAAGACAGAATTTCCTCACGTCTCTTATTACAGATTGATAAATAGTGCTCTTATTTCGCAATAAGAACGAATTATTTATCAAAAAGTAATCAAGAACTATCACGTAGAGGGTATCCTGCGACACACTTAGGCTCAAGCTGTAAGAG